AGATGACTAATAAAGCAGCCTAAAACCGCACATAAAATAAACTGCCAAGCGTAGGTTCAACATATTATTTTAGTTGAGAGAGACGTAATTTAAAACTGAGTAGCATTAAACGTCGAGTTCAACAGTATATAGTTCCATCTAAAGGCCACAGTGTGTAACTGCATGCTAGATGCTCATAAAGGAGACAACTGAGGAAAATCGAATCGCCAGTTTTAATATAATTAACACAGATTGTTCCTGACAAAGATGTATTGGTCTTTTATAGGAAATCTCATTGGAAACGCCCCAAGATTAGAAGGACAAATTAATCCTGAACCAGAATGAGATAGTGATTTTCTTCCAAGCTGTCGTGATTTAAAGCAAAAAATGTGGCCCAGAATCCTCTCCAATATTCATGAGCCGATCACCCGTTACAGGAATTAGTTTTGAGATAGTGAAAGGATTATCAGAACAACTGTCCTTTTCCAGCCATCTCTTTATTTTATATGTTCCACATACACCAAGATTATGGCAACTAGCGTACTGCAAATGGGTCAAAGCAGTGTCAAGGCTGAGTGCTGTCTCACAGACTTAGCTAAACTATCACTGCTCAAGCACAATGATTAGGCATTAGCCGAGAGGACACTATTTTGGGAGGCATTGTGTGATTTAAAAGCTAACTGCAGAGTCATTAAATTAATCCCTAAAGCTCTCCCAGGGAGATCAAAGCGTATGGATATGAAGCTTCTTCAAAACCAAGGTGTAGTTGAGGAAAGAGAAGAGAAGATGATGTTAATGATTGTGATCAAACAGAACATCGAGGCAGACTGCTGCTGACCAGGGAGTCAAAGCAAAAGGAATCCTCTCCAAATATATATCTAGTCTAAAGCAGCTCTTTGAAAACTTTTTATTAACCAGCTCCTTTATTGGATATGTAGACCAATAGGCTCCATATTTGACACTTGAAAGGGTTATCATCAGAGACTAGAAGAGATAGAATTTTTAAGCTATGTGTTGAGGGAAGTCATGAATTTTTATACGAGGATAATGTGTCCATGTAGGCGAGACTCTAACCTGACTGATAGGCCACTTGTCTCTTCCTCAGTCCATGCTACACCCTTTCTCTGCATTAAAAAAAAAAATAGGAAGGTAGGAATATTTGGTAACAGTCAGGCTAACTGGTATCCTATGTTACTAATGTGTCGTTTAGCTAAGCTAAACAGCTGCTGGTTGGGAGCACTTTGTTTGCAGGACAATCATGAGAGGTATTCATTTTCTTTACCCTTGGAAGGCCATTAAACATAATTCCTTTAAAATGTACTTATACGTTGTTGGGTTAGGAGAAGGTGAATGAGCTGTAAAGACTTCAGATCATCTTTGGTGAAGGAAATAATGCCATCAGTATCTCTCAATGTTCTCAAACACATCTTCTGCATTTCTGTACTATCCGCCAACAATGATAAATATGTTTTTGATAAGTTAATATCAACTCATGTTAGCTTATTGTTCCTTCTGGCTCTGGCAAGGAAGTCTGTGTGGTTTGGAGTCAGTCTCAACCTCTTACAGGTGTACTCTGCCATCACAAGTTTCACTACATAATTAAATCTCATTGTGAGCATGGAGGAAAAGCCAACGTGATTTAGTTGCCAATTCCCTAAAGCCATTCAATCTAATTAACTCATTTGCTGTGTGTGTGTGTGTGTGTGTGTGTTTTTCTCATTGCTGCCTGCCACTGAGCTGTATATTACATTTTAAAGTTAAAAATGTTTCCTCCAAACATGTTTACTGTCTCAGTAGACATTAGCTGATAGTTAAAATGTTTGTCTGCAGTCTGATTTCTATTTTCCAGGCCTTGCACATCTGTGGATAAATAAAGACGACAAAGATAGTAGGAGAAAGTGTTGAAAGACTTTAAGTGTCTGTGTGAAGGTGACCCCACTACCGACTACTCGTTTGCCGAGCAATGAAAACAACTTAGTGTGCATTTTCTTTCCTAAAAGCAAATGCACGAGTCTCGAGTCAATGAGGGAGGCGGTGTGCTAAATCCATATAAGCTCTATTGAAATTCCCCCTCTGAGTGCGCAGACTGCCTCGTGTTATTGTATTTTAGCCTTCTGTTGTTGGCAGTCTGCTTTAGGAGGCTCATTACTTTCTGTCTATAATGATGATATAAAGTAATATATTTTTCTTTTATCCCTCTCTCCCACCCAGTGTGCATATAAAATATATTTGCAGACAGTATGAGGAAGCCTCTACGGATGCCTCAATCCTAATACAACAGTTGTATTTGTATCATTATAGTTCTGGCAGAAAGTGAAAGATTTGATGGAGTTATTAGACTTTTAGAGAAAAATACCAGATAAAGCATGTTTTGTTTTCAAAGCTATTTCTCTCCCACAAGCCATCACACACTACACTGACACCCAGACCAGAGGATTTCATTACAATGCTTTTAGGAGCCAATGTAAGCACACCTCCTCCTAACACTGAGGCTGTGTCCACATGTGAGTTTCCACACAGACACTAAGAGCTCCTGCTGTACTATATTCTGCCAAGAGAAAATCTCAGAGTGGTGACAAGTTGCTTGAAGTGGCTCCAAATGTAGACGCTCCAGCTCAAAGCTTTGACAGCTGATGGCTTCTCCTTTTGTTCTTCTATCACAAAGGAAGGTCCAAAATAGTGAAATACTCTGATCCAAATATAGATAGATGAGCATAAAACATGAATATAGTCTCCTGTACACCTAAAAATACTATTTGTGTTACAAAAAAACCCCACAAGGTGCCATCTTTTCAAAAGGAAGCATCATCTGATTTGTACCATACGATTTAGTACAGCAGTTATTTAAATGAGCTTCTGTTGGAGTGAAAACATGCAAATCCCTGAGTCCACAGTACAAAATCCCTGAAATCTGAACTACATCTCAATCCAGGCTAAAGGCCTTTCGAAGCTGCAGTTCTGACATCTACCAGAAGAGGCACAAATAATGCAAAACAGGGATTTGTTTCTCCTCCGGGGGTATAATCTGTTAATCCAGCCAGTTTTCTGGATTATACTGTTAATGTTTCTCCCCTATGGTGGCTAGTCTTTAATAAGCATCTAGTTTGCGTCATCACTTGCCTAATATTAGTGTCAAATACATCTACTGTGAGAGTGACCAGAACGTAGAGTTTGACCTAAATGCCAAAAAGACACTGAAGTAAGTAAAGTGACAGTGAAAAAGAATCAGCTGCTTTCATAGATTATTTACTGGTTGCAAATGCACAGGGGGTTGTGTACTGTGATGTTGTTTTGTAGGGAGGATACTCACATTACAAAAGCACATGCGTGTCCTCGAAACACACACACACACACACACACACACACACACACACACACACACACACACACAAACTCACTCATACTCACAGAGGCAGTAGAGTGGCAGTATAGAGGGACTGTCATCCTCAGTAGATTGGAGTAGCTCTTGAACTAAGTGTTAAATATTGAATGAAACTTTACTTCACCTGCTTCAGAAAGTCATGCAGCCATTAAAAAGTAATAGCAACAAAAGGATTTGTCCTCTCCTGGCGGACTTATATTTATGTCGTAAAAGCAATTATGTAACGGGTGACCACCTTAAAAAGGGAGAATTTACAACTAGAAATGCAGATATTGCTTTGTTTTTCACATTTCAACTCTTCATGCATAATTTCTTAACTTGCTGCCGATATGGTTAACCTATAAAATGTTGAAGAATTGCAGTACTCCCCTCTTGCATTTGTAACAGACCAGTGATCCGTGACCCCAGAGGAGTGAGGCTGAGTCATCCATTAGAATTTCAGGAGCTGTCGTGCACGGCCCCAGGGCAAAAATGTGCTGTGGCCCCCTATTGACCCCCCATTCCCCCCACTCTTTCGGGAGGCTGATATCATTTACTGTTACCAAAAGGTAATGGACTATAATTAGTAAATAACCCACGTTATGTTAGGCAGGACGCGCAGGATGCCTCTAAGGAAGTCAGGTGATACAGTAGTAAAAAGAAAGACAAAGTTCAAGTAAGGATGAAGCTAAAATCACCTCTGATATATTTTTAACCTACATGTAATGCACTTGACCAACATCAATATGCAAGTTACATAACACATATACATTTTAACCCAAATATTGATATTTTCCAAATCCTAACCAAGTTTTGTATCCTAACCCGACTTGCAGCCATGCTCATCACTAGTGCAATCCACAAAAGATGACAAAAACAACGTATTTACATTTGATGTACCAACACAGGAAGTAGGCTAATGTGTCCTATATATGTTGAGCTCTAAATAAAGACTGAAGAGGTGTGGCTTGATTGGCATGAAGCACGTTTGAATTTCATGCAGGAGGTTAAACTTCATGCAGGTCTGTTGTTCTTCATAAATAATATTGTACAAACATTTATGAAGAAGAATACACCATGTAAGCACCACACCTCTACAAGATGGGTCTTAAAAATTATGTTGTAATGTAGACGTTGCCTTAAGGCTCCTATATTATTTGAGTTTGTGCCTAAGTAAAGTCGAACAAACAGGCATTTGGACACAAAGTGGCCCTGCATGGTTAGAATACTTTTTAAAGCTATATGAAGACCTGTTTTTCATACTTTGTATTATCAGAAAAGTTATAGGCTACTCTCATTAAGTAGGCCTATCTGCTTTCTGTAAATAAAATAAAAGAGTATTATATTACATTATAACATTGTATGTCAAAAGATGATAATCTAACATAAGAACTGGAAGAACAAGAAGTATTGTTAAAATAATGTAGTTTTTCAAATTCACGAAGCATGTTTGCAGGTGAACCATACAGAGTGAGATATGCACTGCAGCCTAATGTATGTAAACGGTTCCTCCTCCCAGATGTCTCCGCCTGTGTGTGATCACAGTAAGCCTGAGGAAGCGCCTCTGGCAGTGTAGTGGGAGTGAAGCGCCTCCTGTATTATTTCCCCTCCTCTCCATCATTTTACGCCGAACCAGAACCATTCATCTCTCCCCTCCTTCAGGCTTCACATCCGGGTCATCCGGCAGTATCTGTCTCTTGCGTCTGTGTGTCTGAGAGTAAGAATTGTTTCCTCCGCCGCCGTGCTGTACTGCAGCTCTCTGCCCGACTGTGCGGCTCGCCGAGCGGACACTACGCGTGGCGTGCACCGGTGATGATGGAGCCACGGGCGCTGTGAAGCTGCAGCCGGTCGCACAAAGGCAGGGATGAGACGGTAGGAGGCGTTTGTATGGGCCAGCCCGCGGTGATTTACTCGCCCTAACGATGTCTAAGAGCCTCAAGAAGAAAAACCACTGGACCAACAAAGTCCACGAAGCTGTAGTAACCCGGGGGAAGGAAGGGGAGCTGGGGTTCGAGCTGAAGGGGGGCGCGGAGATCGGCCAGTTCCCCTACTTCGGCGAGGTGAAGCAGGGGAAGGGACTGATCCAGAGCGGAAAACTGGCCCAGGATGAGCTTCTGCTGGAGGTCAACAACATGCCGGTGGCCGGGCTCACCACCCGGGACGTGCTGGCCGTGATTAAACACTGCAAAGACCCGGTCCGCCTCAAATGTGTCAAGCAAGGTGAGATACGTTGTGCACATGAGAGGGACTAGCAGCACACATGAATAAGGAGGCGGAAGGTGTGTGTGTGTGTATGAGGTGGTGTGTTTGTGTGTCACTGGTTAGATTAAGATGTCTAAGTGCAGTCAGTCTGCACTAAAGGGAAAAGCCGTGTGGACAAAGCACAGACACATGCTTGGGCCTGGTTGTTGGTGAAATGTAATTACGCGCCGTAATGATGTGTACAGTCCACTAGGATCACTAACTATAATGGTTATGGCAGGCGGGACTGTGCAGCCGCGGTTTGTTTATCACATTGCCGCTGGTTCGATGCCACAGCCCGGAGGGGGGTGTGTCTGTTTAGGCGTCATGCCTCAGTTTGCGGTTTTCTCCATGTTTTGGTCGAGGCTCGTTTCACCAAACAGGCCTGCGCCGTGGATGGAATGTCTTTTCTCTTTGACAGCAGACAGACAGTCTGCTGGATGTCAGCCCCCACTATGTCCCTAACATGAATTATAATTACGCACTGATGAAAAATTAAACCTGTGTGGCCTAATTAATGTCGAGCCCGTTTTCATGTTGATCAGCTCTGTAGTCAACATGCTTTGCTCTAACCCCGCCTCCTAAATTTCACACACAGCTAGCCTACACACACATGGCCTATTTTGTTTATGAAATGTTCCCGAGTTCAGAAGTGGAAAAATGATTGTGTCAGTCATGCTTTGAGAGCTTTTGAGTGTTTTGTTATTGTCAGCCGGTGCAGTGGTTATTGGGGCCTCTGAAGCTGGATGCTGAATGTTTCTGAGCAGCAGTGGATTTATGGCACGAGTGATGACTGAGTGACCTGCTTCTGTCAGCCAGTGTGCAAGCAGACATGGTCTCTACACGCCTAGAACATTGGATTGAAGGAAGAGCAGAGGAGATGGTTATCATCACACCCTCTGAGGCTCAGTACAAGTCCTCATAAGTGGCTAAACGGGCCATGAAATGAGCATAGTGGCTTCTTTCTGGGACATGGGTAAAGCAAAAATCAAACTAGTCTATTTTATTTTTGGACATTGCCGAGTTTGCTCACAGAGGATTTCTCTTCACACTCTTCGCCTGACTGCTCGCTCTCAATCTCAGTGTTTCCCTGGGTTGGGTCAATGTGATTGATTGTTGAGTTAGAGCTGCTGACAGTGGAAGAGTACCGTCCTAGGATGTGTGAGGGGTTAAATTCTAATGTGTGTGTATCTCAGACCGGTCTATCCTCTCGCTCCCTCTCTTATCCATTTAAACATGAATCTGTTTATTGAGCCTCACACTCTTATCCAGCTGAATATGGTCTTTTCTACTGTAAAAATGTCCTTGAGCATTGCCTCTGCATTGCTTGTTTTCTTCTTCACTTTATTATATATTTTTTTCTCTGTCTCTTTTACCATTTAGCTTACATACAAGTTTGTTTAAGGCAGTAGGCTTGCAGACAATTGCTGACACACTCACTGAGGAATCCTGTAGAAGCAGTCCAGTCACTCTCCTCAGAGGCCACACACAGCCAAAATCAAAGACGGATGTCCTGTCTGGGAACACAATCGTGTTTGACTGCCCATGCGAATATGCACACACTTCCACATTTTAACAGACTTGGTAGAAACCCCCCTTCTGCCCCTGAGGGAGCACAGCAGTGACAGCGAGGCCTGATGGACCTCGAGAGCGAGCTCACAGCCTGACTGTGCCCTGACTTCCTCTCACTCAACGTTTCATCTGCACATGAAATACATAGAAAGAAACACGGTTTGTGGGAATATTATAAACCTTTTGCTAGAAAGAATCTGCTGTACTCATGTAACAGCGGGACATATGGAGGTTTTTATAAGTAAGAAAATAGTATGCACATGAACACAGGCGGTATCCTTTTCACTAGTCCTATGTTGGCAAATGTACCTTTACATAACGACATGCAGGTGTGAGTTGTTTTGAGGATGTATCATGTCACCTTCCAAATGTACTAATGACATCTTCTGCTATATATTACTGTTGAGAGTTTGGCATCGCCTGCCTCCAAAGCATGATATGGTATAGTCAGATGGCTTAGAGGACTTTTTGTATGTAGGCTAGATTTCTACATGTACAAAATGTTGTACCATGGTCTGACGAATACAGACATGCACGTATTGCACGAATACAGAATGCACGTATTGTAAGTCGCTTTGGATAAAACCGTCAGCTAAATGCAATGTAATGTAATGTAATGTAAATACACCTGATACCTCATTCACACCAACGCAACTCCGGTTCAAGCTCCATGCTAGAGCTTTTCAGGTTCAGAACCGGTTCTTCGGTTTAACTCCGGCTCTTTTCACACTGCCCAGAGTCCGACTGGTGCTGCGTCCTTGCGTCATTGTTTGCGTCATGACGTAACCGTTTGCGTGCCTGCTTCATAAAGCCAAACCGTGCAGAAACCCCTCACAGCTGACACCGACAACAACAACAATGGCCGATTGTGCTCCAGCTTCCTCTGTACCTCTTCGGAAGACCAGATTCCCAGTAGGTAGCTGGTCTCTTCAGTGGACCACTGCTGCTTGTTAAGTTTCTCCATCGTTGTGTACAAACTGGATAAAACGCCGGCTTTTTGTTGTTGTTCAGGAGTTGATCCCGCACACTGCCCCTGCCCCCGCCTCGACGTAAGCGTGACGTATGTGGTGCTTTTGCTCTGGCCGGACAATTTTTTGGTGCTCGAAATGAACCGGATTCCGGAGCTACGAGGCTGCTCCGCTGCGGTGTGAACAGGAAAACCCGGTGCTTTTCAAGTTCCAGCTCCGAACCGGCCCTGAAATACCGTTGGTGTGAATGAGGTATCGAGCAACATTTCAATATAAATGCAGAAATTGTTGGTCAAAGCAAAAGTATGATGAGTGAAACAAGTGTTGCTTTCGCAAATGTATTCTATAAACTTCTCAACAGAAACAAAAGATTAGTCTTGGGTTGGAACTATCCGAGGATCTAATGAACACTAGGCTATATACTTACAAACCAAAGTTTAAACCTCCTCATCTAACCACTGACTGCAATGGGTCTAAAGAAAAATGGCTTCCCAAAATATTACAATCACAATTGCACAGTGATGGTTCAATGATGATCAAGTGCACTTAAACATTAGGCTACATGTTACTTATTAAACATGATAAGAATACATCCAACTGGATTTTTTATTTAAATAACTAAACATGCATTTTCTTTTGAATGCCGGTTTGCAAATGAGTGACTCGCTGTATCTATCTGGATTTAATTGTCTGATGAGAATCTCTCGCCCGTGTTCATCCCCCCATCAGCAACGAGCAGGAGAGAAGTGCGAACGGCTGCTCAGCTCAGTGAGGCAGATTTCTAAAAGTGCCATGAAGATCAGACCGTTGAGAGGTGTTAGAGCAGTATGGAGAGGAGAGAAGTGTTAATGTGTGTGTGTGAAAGAGAGGTGGAGTTTAAAAGAGGAGTATGTTGAAGGTGTGAGAAAGCACACTTTGAAAAACAGAGAAAATTACATCCTGTGATTTTTTTTCACATTCTTTTCAGAAGATCCTTCATTTTTAGTTTTATAGTCATGATGTGTCTTTACTGTCCCAACTTGTCATGCTGACTTGAAATGGACAAATAGTCAAAGGGTTTTCTTTGTCTTTCTGTTTAAAAGACATTGTGTTTGAACAGTTTCATCATTTGTATTTAGTTACATGTGGGGTAGGTAATTCACTTCAGAAACACTCTTTGTTATATTCCATGGAATGCTCTTAACACCTCGATAGCAATGAATACATTAAATGCTTTGACAATAAATACATTAAAACATTTCATCTGTGGAAGCCGTGGCGGAGTAAAAGCACGCGGCTAAAATAACTGGATGGCCTACCTGCCTGTCAGCCTACCATCTGTGCACAAACTTATCTCGTGCCCTCATTGGTCATGTGCGCGTTCGTGTGTGTTGGAGGAGGGGCTCTGTAAGGAAGTCTGAAGGAAGGGGCAGATTTTTTTCGGAATCGTAGTTTCAAACCCTACCTTTTAAAGTTATTTTCCAGTGCTGCTTATCAATTATATATATTCTCAGTTTTTTGGGAAAAAAGTTTAAATATATATATTCAAATTAAATATGTAATCCACCTTTAAATAGCCCGGCTCTCTTTAAGTGACATTCATCTTGGTGATAAAAAGCTGGTTCAAATACTGAGATATAAATAATATTAGTGTCAGCTATTTTTAATCTTTCTCATATTTTTCATTCAAATTGTATTAGAGCCATCATCCAAGGCTGCATCCAAAATAATGTTCTGATTTACATATGAATAAATTCAATATCAAAAAATAATATTTCTCCTACCTACTTAGCTTCAGATAAAAAAGCAGTCTTAAAGCCAGAAACATGTCACTGTTGGCTGATATTGCCGGTGTGAAATTAATTAATTTTTTTTCAAATTGTGTTTTTTTCCTCTCTGTGAAGAGTGTGGAGGAGGAAGACCCCGGGAGATTTTCTCTACATGAGTTATGATAACAATATGCTGTGTTTTCTGAGGAACAACAACATTTATTTAAAATGTTAACACGCCCTTAAACATCAAAAGTGGAGCACAGCAAGCCTCTGTCACACTGTGCAGCGGCCCTCGGCCACAGCCTGTACAGGGCAGGCCAGGCTGTAACTTCATTTACATCCCATTGACAGTAGACAGTTTCTTTGGCAACAACAGAGAATAATCTCCTTGTGTATGCATACATAGACTTTGACTCTGGTTTTTTCATTCTTCCAAATACTGCATACCAGTACACAGAAACATACACACTTCATCCTTCCAGTTTACACTGATAATGGTGGCAGATAAACCTCTCAAATGTAATTGTAATTCATAAAACAACGGGTCTCTGATTCCAGACAGAAAAAGGCCTCATCACTAATGACCATCAATGTTGCCAGCAGATTCTTCAGCAGTAGCTAGCAAAATTGTGCTAATGCAAATTCTAAAATGCAGACAATGTCTTCAGTGGACTTTTTAACCTTTCAACATTCTCTTCTTTTTTTTTTTACAGGGTCTTAGTGTTGGCAGAGCGCATTATATAATGCTAAACTTTAATGCTAGACTGAGAATTGATTTGTAAAATAAACTTTAAATAGGAAATAATTGGAGAAAGAATATTTAATAAGTTTGGCAATGTAAAGTTTTCTAACGAAGATTTTTTAGGGAGTTGGTTAGCAAAAGCTTTGACTAAATAATTTGCAGAATATAGCTGTTTGCTAAAAACAGACCTTTCCCTTTGAAAGTAGAGTATGTCTGTATAGGTAGACGTTGTATTTAGTTAGTGTACATGTGAACGTTAGCAGCTTAATCTATTCTGATTAATATTTGCATGCACAAAGTATTCATCTTGACAGGCCTTTTCATGCTTAGTTACTGACAGTTCAGATATCGTATAACCGTTGATAGTGGGGGAGTTAAGCTATAGTCAATGGGAGCACATAGTTTCAAGGATATACTTTTGAGAATAGTTTGAGGTTGTCAAGTTTTCTGACTCAGCTGTCCGAGTCCTGCCAGTCCTCTTAACGTGGGTACAGTATGGAGGGACAGATGGAGCAGAGGCAGAGAAGGCGACCTTCTTCTCCTCTCTTGTCGCTTTGTTGATGAGAAGCTTGAAGAATCAGTGCATAACATCCTGTCTGCTCTGTTGGTATTAATAACTCACCAAGAGATGAGTTCTGTCAGAGACGCAGGATGGTTTTATTGAGGCTAGAAGCTGCTGGAGCTCTGCTGAGAGGATCAAACTCAAGCTGAGCCAGCCAATGTCCAAATATCTAACTGGTCCAGTTAAGTGAATTAGGTCAATGTAATTCTCCTCACCATGGACACACTGCAGGGGACTGTGCTGCTGCATGTGTTTGGGAAATGTAGATAAAAACACTGTATTAGACATGACTTGAAGGAGGTTTTGTCAAAACATGTTGCAATCCTTCCG